TGGAGATTATCGATACTCCTATTAAAAAGGATTAAATTGATTATAAAATTTATTCTCTTAATCTGACACAATTCTTTATGTTGAATAAGTTTTTTTTTAACTGCTTTTGTTGCTTTGGAAGTCCGATTTAAACGTCTGCTATTGACGTAAATCTACTTAGTACAAAAATATTGCAAAGCACATAAGACTTGTGCTAATTATATCATTTCATCATGCACCAAAGTTCACAGAAACAGGTGAACAATATCGCATCTATTACATTGACCCTCAGGTCTGAAAGGATAGACTAACTATCAATCATGTATGCCACAAAGTAAATTTTAGCATCCAGATAATATCGAATAACATTTTAATATAAAGATGTAGGCCGAAGTTCTATTTTGATAAAGTGTTTCGATGGACAGGATAAAAAAAATTTATTTAATTGAAGAACAATAGAGCTTTTTTTATTTTATGCATGAAAATCAAAAACAATTTTTTAGAATTGTATCTAGACAGTGTTTTATATAAAGCTTGTTCGACATAGTCGTAGCACCCAATGAAGGTCTGGAACAAACACAATCTCACCATTAAAATAAACGGCCCACCGAGAACTAGTAATACCGAGGAAGGTTTCAATCATTTTAAAGCAATGATCACTGATTGCTATTCCATTGGAGAAATCGTTGCCTTTAAATTACAGCAGGTAAATGCGTCTTTTAAAAATTCAGATTGATCCTGAACAACAGCCTGCAATGAAACCTAATCATTGTGTTTTTAATGACGATGTAATAAAAAAAAAACATTAATTGTGTTCTTTAAATTAATTCGACTTTTATCTTTATCTTTTCTTTTTTCTAAATTTGGAATGCAAATATTATATATTTTTACAATTTGAAATCAAAATATGTTTTAAGTTCAATTAATCTGTTTATTTTTCGTAAAGTTTAATGATTTGTGTGTGTCTCAAAATCTGTTAAGTATCGATTTTGTAATTGCCTGTTTAATACAAGTTAAGTAGCTTACGGCATAAAGCGTGTAAATGTTGATGTATTGAACAATTAAATTTGTGTGTATTCCTAATCCGCTATTGTATGCATCGACGGCCGTCACAGATGTAGCAAAGAGGGAGTTAGGGCTAAAGAATGTAAAAACATTCAGCGACATTCAAATGTTGGATTCAGCTTTGGATGCTTGCAGTTTTAAATCATTCGTGTTGGACAGCTGAATAATTGCTTTGCAATGTAACGTGTACGTGACAACCTGGATTTGACCAAATGGATGGTGGATAAAATAAAAATTATTAAAAATTTCTTTTTTGACTATGATAAGAAAAAACGTTTTACTTTCTCTTATAAAGAGTTTAAAAGGAGTATTGTAATAGTGTAAAAAAAAAAAATAATCTCGACGTTTTACACCTTTATGGGTCAGAAAAAACAATTTTTTGAGTTGTCTGAATGTATGTATGTCTGAGTATATGTGAGCCAATGTGTGTGAGCACAAGACTTTGAGTACTCTTTCACACATATAAATATTAGATCATATACTTAGGTTTTATTCAACATTTGAGCAATTTCGTTTTATAGGAGAAGTATACCTTACTACATTGTAATTTTGTCGAAAACCTTCAGAATTTGATCATTTAAATCATCCTATATAATAAACTGTCTTCTTTCGGCTGTCTCGTAATTATGTAACTCCACGGTATTTCAAATAGATATTATTTAAGAACGCTAAGAGGTCTAAACGTTGTATAGCATTATGGACTCCCATATATATATATATATATATATATATATATATATATATATATATATATATATATATATATATATATATATATATATATATATATATATTTCGAGTTGTAAAATGATGATTTACCGCTGTTTAAAAAAAATCTTCTTTAATTGTGGGACCACGTTGTGCCTTGAAAGAATTATCTGCACCTGGAGTTAACCGTGACAAATTAGTCTATATTTTTAGAAATACGCAGTTGCCGTTATTTTTAATGTCAATCAATACGGAGTGCAAAAGGGTTTGAATTAAGTATCAACAGCAAATAACAAAATATATTCAAAATTTACATTTGATTTTCAACACATGAACAAATATTTGCGGCTGTACAGTTAAACAGTAAGTTACTCAGTGTTTGTTTTTTTTGTGTGTGAAAAATTCAGTGAAGACGAGAATGACATTTAAACTATCGATTCGTCAGTGGTTTAGTCAGTGGTTGCGCAAGCGAAACGTCGCCCGGTTTCATTCAGTTTACGCGACACAAGAAAGACGGGTTAGAACTTGGGACATAGTGACAATCTCACTGAACATTCTGGATATCTCTTATCGGCAGCGTATAGGAACAGCACATTGGCTTCCTATGTGAATTCGACGCGATAATGTTCAAAACCGATTTTTTTATAAATATTATCTTACAGGGAAGTGTATGTTCTGTAAAACATATTAAACAGTTAACACTGATATATTTTTAAGTCGGAAAACGACAATGAACTGCAACTTTGTAAAAAAAAACAATCTATACTGACTTCTTAATATTGGCTACACAGCAGTGTTTGAAAATTAACTAATTACACGCAGTGAATGTTGCGTAGCTCGTCGTGTATTGATTAACAGTCCACTAATTAACATTGAACGTCTGAACTGAAATTTTTTTTTAGCTATACATGGCCGAATTGGTGTGTTCGTGTCTGTGTGTAAAGGTGTGTTAATTATAAACATCGTATTAAAAGCATTTTCTTTTGTGTACTCGTGCATGTATCTATGTGTAAATATACACATACACACCTATTTTGAGTGTTCGTTACGTAAGGTTCTGTGATCCCAACTTTTATGTTTATAAATCAATTAGATGTTGCTTGTAATTAGAAGTTGGCTATTGTTGTCATACATAAAATTTTCCTTTTTGATCGTGAAGGTCCATGAGGCAAGTGAAATAGAAGTCACATGCTTAAGTGACGTCGCCATATGAAGGGATAGTGTTGTCAGCACTATGCCCAGCCGCCTTTACATTCCCTAACGTGAGTTAAGTCCCCGTCAGAGCTGGGTGGACTCGGGAACAATATATTCACGTATCCTGGATTCAAACTCAAGGCTTTTGGGTAAGCAGTCCAGCGATCTACCGCTAGGCCACTCCTTCACGGGTCAAACATTAAAAGCAGTGTAATCCAGGCTAAGAGAGAGAAACAAAAAAAAATCGCCAAAAAAAAACCCAATTATAACTCATTAACCTGTCACGTTTTAACAGTAGTAATCATGATTTATTTATATGTGTATTGTGTAAAAGTTTTTTTTATAGCGAATTTGTTCGTACATATTTCGTTGTTTGTGTGTTTCTTTACTGGATGTCGCGTACGCAGAGTGGCGGGTCAATTATATAGACCGTCCTCTCCCACTAGGCCGAGATTGACTATCTGGTTGTACTAAATGAAGCAATTTTATAGCATATTTAAAAAAAAAAAACAATAGCTTACATGGACAGGTATACATTAAAAAACATTTAATATGTACACAGACAATTACAACCAAAATATCTATTATTAATATATTTAAAAAAAAAACAACGATTTGATCTTTAGTAAATACAAACGTATTTTTAATTAAAATTTATATATTATTATAAGTAAAGTGTAATCAAACGTTCAATTAAAAAAATATATATATATATAAGCTGGCATTGCGTTTAAATATTCTATCTAATAGATGTGAACTAAAGATGTGTGATAATCCTATTTTTGTATATAATTACAGTGTGAGAGAGTCAATTGTATGGTTCCATGACAAACGATCTCGAGACAAAATATCCCAGACCAAATATCTTAATATTTAAAATAAAATTAAGTTTAATAACTTTTGATTTTTATTTAGTTTAATTAATTGTATAAAATGCATACAACATTTGACATTCAATTAACAATGTTCACAGCCAAAATACTCAAGGTATTTGCAGTGATATATTTTGTCTGAGATCATTTTCTGAGATCATTTGTCTGAGATATTTTGTCTGAGATATTTTGTCTGAGATCATTTGTCTGAGATATTTTGTCTGAGATCATTTGTCTGAGATATTTTGTCTGAGATCATTTGTCTGAGATATTTTGTCTGAGATCATTTGTCTGAGATATTTTGTCTGAGATATTTTGTCCATGATATGATTTATACTGAGATGTCGCAGACAGATCCTCAAGATAAGATGTCTAAAACACATATGAATTAAAAACCTGGGGAAAACACAAAACCACAGCCAATAGAAAGATCATTAAAGTCCACAAATTCGGCATACCCCGAGTAGTGTTTCTTCCAGACCTTTTTCTCCGGGGGCACTTGAAAATTTCGGGGGGGGGGGGGGGGCGGTAGACTTTCTTCGGGGGGGGGGGGGCGGACACTGTTAAAAGTATATATTTTCTATATAAATTAAATAAATTTCATTTCGTTCGGGGGGGGGGGGGGCGGTAAAAATTTTGCGGGGGGGGGGGGGGGCGAACCCCGAAGAGATGCCTGGAAGAAACTCTCACCCCCGAGGTGGAAAGAGGATAATATCACGAGGAAAGCGTTAGAATGCAATCCACAAGGGGAAGGGGTAGAAAGACTGGACTGAGGCGATCATACACGTTCTCAGACATTTTTATATACGCGTACACAAATCGTTACAAAAGACTTTAACAACTCACCGCACGAAGATTGAGCAGGGTACAAAGTACAAACAACATACACCCCAACATTCACATCCTTTCACTCCTTGACTAAATATCCCTGTTCTGATATCTATCATTAAATTACTGAAGGATGAATGATAAGGGGTAACATCATACCGTATTGTTTTGCAAGAGGTTATGTACATGATATGTGTGTGGGGAGGGGGGAGTTAGGGGTAGAGAATGTGACGGGGGTAACTGGAATAATTTAAGTATAGGGATAGTTAATGTAATACTCCAGCAAAAAATATACTTTTATATTCATAGTTCGTAATTTATTTTTCCTTGTTGCATTTTAATTTAAGTTAAAACTATTTTAACTCGTACACAATCAAAGAGGAATCAATTATGTTATTAAATTTGGTCAATTAGGTGATTTGCGTCTCCGTACAGTTTCCTGTCAACATGGCATCCCATAACTCCTTCATATACTTGACGTTGTACATGGCACTCACATATCGTTTGTACACTAGGTCACAAAATGTGTACTGTTTAAGAGAAAAAGCGAAAGCCGTGTTCCCCAGTCTGGTGATGTTTAACGTTACGGCCATGATACCTGTGATGAACGCGTCCTCGTTAGGAACGATGTGAACAAAGGGAAAACTCGCAGCCATTTTGTGAACGACGGAGCTTGTAAGGACGTAAGAATGTCCATACACGTATTTTGGGAAGAAGGAGAATGCATACATATGGTGGGGTACAGCCCATTTCCCGTCCCGTACAACGTAAGGCTTGGGAAATATATGCTGGTAGCCTATTATAAAATCAGTGTAGTTTTGAGCAACATGTTGAACAAGTTTTAAAAACACTTTCAAGTGGACAAAGGTGTCCATGTCCACTTTAGCGACAAATTTAGCTTGTGGACAATGTTTGGATGCCCAAGTCAAAGCCGTGGCTAACTTTAATGACAAGTTCCCGTAGTTGTCTTTAAAACTTGCCACAACGATGTCCCCATAAAGTTTGGATTCGTTGTACAATGCAAGATTCTCTACATCTGCGAAGCCTTCATTCCCGAAGAAAAAGACCAATCGAACTAAACCTTTTTGGCTCCAGGACTTGTCGTAAATTGGTGACGCCCATGTCTGACGTATAAGTAGCCTCCAGTCGCTGTGTTGTTTAACGCTCATAATCATCACCAACAGGTCAACATCACCTGAACACACGGACGTACCTGGGATCGAATACTGGCTAGGAATGTCCGACACACGTGAACTATTGAGATAAAAGTACGTGAAGTTCTCAAAATATCCCGGGTTCTCTTTAAACTCTGCGGTCTTAGAACTCAGGTTAGAGAGTAAATCGTCATCCAGAGAATTAATGTTGGTGACTGGTATATTTAACGTGTCGGTCGTATGGTGAAATGATCTATCTGATGTTGGAGTTCTATCCGTTGTAAGAACTACTTGAACTACCGTATTTGCTTCAACACTGGTATGATACAAACTTTCAGTAGAGATGTGTGTAGTTAGTTTCAGTGTTGTCACAGATGTTGTTTTGTTGTCTGGAAATGATGTCCTACTCACAGCGATGAAATTTTGGAATGTTTTGTATTTTATTGTAATCCCTGTGGTTAAAATATACGCCAGAGATATCAGAAGTAAACTTAAAAATATTATTATAATGTGGTGTCTTTCCAGCGTTATTCTTCGTGGCCTTAGATTTCTGGAAAAGATGGCAATACAAAATAAATAGTATTATGATTTTTAATCTAACATATGTATTTTGAATTATATTATAAAACGTAGCTTAAATTGTCATAAATTTAATGTGATAGCAACAACAATTAATTTGAGGCTAAGACTGAGAAATAGAGGGACAGAGAGAGAGAGAGAGAGAGAGAGAGAGAGAGAGAAAGAGAGAGAGAATGGAAAGGGGGGGGGGAGGGAGTTGGAGCCAATTGTAATTTTTTAGAAGTATATTTTTTCCTTATCAAATAATGCGACGTTAGCATAACAAAAAAGTTATATTTCAGAATAAAAGGTACACTTACGCTTTTCTTGAATACATTTTGTTAACGGTTTTTAGATTTATTCGTCCAAAACTATTATATATATATATATATATATATATATATATATATATATATATATATATATATATATATATATATATATATATATATATATATATATATAACTCAAACAATAGAACTTGGTTTGTACAAAATATCAAGTTAAAAATTTTGTTTACTGTAATCTCTATGACAGCCTGGTACAAATCACAACTCGTATTCCGAAACACCTTACGAAAATTTAACTAACCCTTCTCTTTTCAACATAGACGCGTCGAGAATTAAAATCTGCATCGATCATAACATTAACGTCGATCTATGCTTACCACACGTTAAGGTACACTACGTCTAACCTACGATAATCGTACTCGCCTAATGTTTTTTACTGGTGTAACGCATTTTTGTGTGGCCCTTTAAAACTTTAAAAACAAAGGGAATTGATTTTAGATAGAGTCGATCGCTGGTGTTTGTTTTTAATCAGTTTCTACCTGGTGTTGAAAGTTTGGAGCTCGTGATGTTATTTGACTTTTAAATTATCACAGTATAATTTTGACGACACATTTCTCTCTTTTAATGTGATACACATTTTTTCAAGCATGAATTTTATTCTAGAAAGCAGAGTGTAGGGGGGGGGGGTAATTAAAACTCTAAGGATGGAGGGCGGAGCACTGGTAAAAGTATACATTTTCTGTAAAAAAAAATATATTTCTTTTGGGAGAGATGGGTAGGGTGGTCGACGTGCTTCGGGGTTGCTCCCAATTTAGAAGAGATGCCTGAAAGAAACTCTGCGTGTAAATTACAGACGACTAACCTAGTTCAGAACATAATGTTTAATAGTTGTCAGTTTTTTCATTGTTGGGACAGAGTACTAGAACAGCAGTACGGCTGCTCTAAGATCTCCACTTAGCTCAGATGGGTACCTGACTCAGGATAGGTGAAGTAAAGGCGGTTGGGCATAGAGTGGGCCACACTATCCGTTCACAGAATCAGTGAACGCTTCTTCATCTGAACCTTCAACGGCTGGGTTTGACATGATAACTCTCTACAACCAGGATGTAGAGGATAATTTAAGCTCCAAGGATATTTCTTCTGTTCAATTCCTTCTTTCGTTGGATTCTAAGCATGTTTCAAATAATGAGAGTGTATGTTTTCTTTTTCATCAACAAAACTTCATAAGTAGTCAAAATCTAGATTGTTTTTTTCACAATTACAGTATTCTATATTCCGTTTACAAAAAATATAAATGAAGCCTAAATACCACATATATTGCAAGCTTTTATTTGCGGAAATCTTACTTTTAATGTTTTCAGTCTTATCTGTAATGCTCTTTTGCTTCTTTTGTTTGTTTGTGTTGCTTTACCGCATAATAGGTTTTCAAGTGTTAAAATGTTTGCTTTAAAATGTCACATATAGTAAACAACATAAGCTTCTTAACTAACAGCTTGAAGCAGATTTCATTTGTTATACATAGGAAGCATTAAAAAAACACAACATCAAATACGGTTCTATTTATCAATATTCATTATACACGTTTTACAAAAGTGCGTACAATCTGGTAAACTTTAATTTATTACAACAGTAGGCCTATATATACAATTATATTCGCTTAGGTTTTCAAAAACATTTGAGAATTCGAATACTTAATTATATAGTGAAATTTATATAGAAGATATATACTTTTAACAGTGTCCGTCTCCCCCCCCCCCCCCCCCCCCCCCCCGCACCGAAAATTTCAATACAATGTGAATTTCACTTGCAGTCACTTTTTAGCCCTCGTCGAGTGCTTTGAATCTGACCAACAGTTTTTTCATACGGCCTAGTCATCTATAGAGGTGCATGCAAAAAAATGGTCAGGTAAATAGAGGTTGAGTATCGTAAAATTTATGTTGAAATTACCCTGTTTTTCCCATAAAATACAAAGATTAAATAGGGATTTACGATTAGTCAGTTTTGACCCATTTGCAGATTTTTCACGGATGTGGCGAGTTTTTTCTGGCACCTCCAGGTGTTCTCCTACCACCTCACAAAATATCAAGGGGGGTCGTTCGGCAAGAAATTTTTTGTTATATAGCTTAAATAAGGAGATTTTTTCGTTGAGGACTTTGAGTCAAACCGACAGTTTTACCTAAAGGTCAAGCGATTTACCTAGGAGCATGCAGAAAATTAGCCAGATATACTGAGCTTAAGTACCATAAAATCCGCGTTGAAATGACCCTCTGTTTTTCCCATAAAATACAAAGATTATATAGGGAAATACAACTGATCAGTTTTGACCCCTTTACGAAGTTTTCCCAGATATGCCGAGTTTTTTTTGACACCCCTAGGTGTTCTCCTACCACCTCCCAAAATTTCACGCTTTAGCCCTCGTCGAGGGCTTTGAGTCAAACCGACAGTTTTCCATAAAGGCCAAGCCATTTACCTAGAAGCATGCAAAAAATTAGCCAGATATACTGAGTTTAAGTACCATAAAATCCACGTTAAAATGACCCTCTGTTTTTCCCATAAAATACAAAGATTATATAGGGAAATACAACTGGTCAGTGTTGACCCCTTTACGAAGTTTTCCCATACATGCCGAGTTTTTTCTGACACCCCAAGGCGTTCTCCTACCACCTCACAAAATTTCAAGGGGGGTCGTTAGACGAAAGTTTTGACCCCATCTCCCTGGACCTTTCGACCAACCGTCACGGGCCCTCGTGTTCTATTGCCCCAAGGCACCATCGTGCCAAATTTGACGCGTCTGCGGCGCCGGGAAGTGCCCTATCGGGCATCTGACCACTTTGCTTTATATATATAGATCTCCACGGGGTATAGCTCTAAAGATTTAAAAGTAATGATGTATAGGCCTATATATAATCGGTTATTACTACAGCTGATATAGTTTATTTTCTATATAGTTAGCAGGTTTGTGTCAAGGTGTCACATCCACCTCCCCCACCTTCTCGGGAACGTCTATTTGTACTTAAAATACTTAAAATACTTATTAACTCTAATTAATCATTCATACGTCTGACAAAAAGCATATTTCTTCTATGTGTTTTGCAATTTTTGTGTCTTGGTATCGACGCACCCCCCCCCCCCCTACATGGTGTCACCCGGTGCGGTCCGCACCACCCGCCCCCACCTCGTGACGCCTCTGACTTACAGGTGAAACCAGCTCTTCAAAATATACATTTTTAAAGGTCGTGATTTCTAAAACGGACAAGTTTTCTTAACGGCTATAACCTTCCCCTTGATTATAAAATGCTCTGCAATTTCTAATAGTATTATAATTTCACAATGTTTCAAAAATGTAAATTTTTACCGAAGGGCATGAATTGATTAAATTAATTGATTGGTTAACTATAGAAAACATTGTGTTGCAGTTATACGAAATAATTTTCCAAAGATTAAAATTATTCTGTGGGGCCTATTATAAAATACATTTACTGGATTTAAAATCATTAGAAATATCGGTTGATCCAACTTAATGAGGTAATTGTTGTAGTTTTAATCTTTTAATACAATAATACCTCCGCTTTTAGCTTGCTTAAAATCGATAGACGCATTATTTACCAATGCAGTGAATATAGATGCGGGGTGCGTTTGGGTCAAGTAAACGTAATACACATAGTCATTAAAGCCAAAATTATAAGCCTACTTTATCGATTTAAAAAAAAAACTGTCTGATTAAAAAGAATACCTTGGGTTATTTATTTTTATTAGCAAAATAAAACCCACACTTATTGGCACACACATTCACACACATTCGCGTCAATCCAAATAAATGTAAGGAAAATATTAATGAAGTGTATCAAAATAAATATTGAGCATCTATTGACATATTGTAATATATGAACAGATGACTATAAAATATTCCGTAAACAAACAAAAAATACAATACGCCAATCGCGAGAGAAACGAAAAACACAACAAAATCACATTTGAAAACAACGCAACGCAGTTAAAACACAATAAGACAAAAACAACTTTTAAAGCATGACAAAATAAAACAACAAACAACCAACACAACACAATCACATTTCAAAACAACGCAACGCAGTTAAAACACAATAAGACAAAACCATTAAGAGCATGACAAAACAAAACAAAAAGAACAAGCACAACACAATCACATTTCAAAACAATGCAACGCAGTTAAAACACAATAAGACAAAAAAAACATTAAGAGCATGACAAAACAAAACAAAAAGAACAAACACACAACGCAGTTAAAACACAATTTGACAAAAAAAAAAACATTTAAAGCATGACAATACAAAACAAAAAGAACAAACACACAACGCAGATCACAAACAACTGTGATTGTTTGGACAATGGGACGTGAGGTGAAAATAGAGACGTATCCGGAGACATTGATCAGTGGGAGAGCGCTGGATAGATCAACAAGATACAGGCGAAATCTAAAGCAATCTCTTTGGTTAGAAAGGTGAGTGAGGTTTATAAAACTTTTCATTTTGGCCCCTTGTCGTTACAGTTTTACATAAGAAAAATATAATTTACACAAATGTTTTTGTGATATGTTTTAATAAATGATATTATTTTTTTTTAAAGTTATAATAAAATTTGTTGAATTTGGAGCTGTGTTGATTCTATTAGGCTAAATATAGTATTGATTATTCATTTGTGAAATATTTTAAACAATTATTGTTTTGGCATTTATCACTCAAGTTGAATGAATGAGAATTAAATTAACACTGCGTACAATAAGTAAAGTATATAATCAGGTTATTCATGAATGTTTAAAGAAAAATTGAAAATTGTATTATTAACACTTAAAGGTTCGTAAAAATTCAAAGTTATTATCTTTATAATAAATGTAATTTCAAATGATACACATTTAAAAAAACAAGTAATTAAAAAAGTCTAGTGACAATTTTAGCGCAATTTCCTTATGTTATCTAAAAATAGCTCTCTCGTAGCGTAAATCAAGAGCAGGGTTAGTAAAACCATTGGTTAGTTATTAAAACGTTTTTTATTAATTTCAGTATTTTACATGTTTTATTTACAATAGAGTAACATGACTAAAAACCATTGCGCGCCTAGCTACCGAACGTGATGTCGCAGCCATTGAACGTGATGGCGCAGCTATTGAACGTGATGACGCGTGTGGTGTGGTTGGATAAAATGCCGACTAATTCGGTCCAAATTTTAATTAATTCAAAAATTGTTTTGTGACCGAATGAAAGGATATTTTTGAAAACTTTCTTCGGCAATATTGTTCTAAATTATGGCAGGAATCGATTGGTACATGTTTCAAGTCGCTAAGTGGTCTGGTTGCCGAGATATGGGCCAAAAACTGCATTTTTTCGAGGTTTTTTGGCTTTCCGGGAAATCCATGAAAGAAACCCGAAATTGTTTTGGCCTATGTTCATCATGGTAACGTGCTTAACATATTTGCTTTGAAACTAGTCCTCGATATTGCTTCGTTGAGGAGGAGATACGACCTAGAGCTGCGGACACACATCCATCCATCCATACATCCATCCATTCCCAGAAAAGACGAGTTAATAAACGCAATTCTCCAGAATGGAAATTGCGCTAAAAATTATTGTGAACTTTATTTTAGTAAGATTCCAGAACTGTTATAACACTTGGTTTGTTTTGTCGTCGTCCAAGTTAATTTGTTGTAGTTCAAATATTTATGTTAAAAACAAACAGCGTTTCTTATTACTTATACAAAGTATATTCTTCCCAGATGTCCGCCGTATCACGAAAACGCAGTTCAACCACCTCAACAATTCAAATAGTGTTGTTGCTCTTGCTTTTATCTGTACATATTTACGTCTTCACTGCTAGCATGTCCGCCTGCCCCTTCAACGATGGAAAAATTGCTGGACCCTTACCAAAACAGGCCACACGACATGCAGTCTTGAAGTTTCCTACGCCAGCTGGTTCTAATAAAAAAGTAAATCCTAAATCAAACACAACAAAACTAAACCAAAGCAAAATCATCGATCAAAAAACTGTATTGCAAGTTAAAAATCCAGCAGTGAATATAATAAAGCATGATAAAGGATTACTCTCTAATTTAAGTAGCAAGATGAAACTTATTACAGAGAACCCGGGATATTTTGAGAACTTCACGTATTTTCAACTCAATAGGTCACGTGTGTCGGACATTCCTAGCCAGTATTCGATCCCCGGTACGTCCGTGTGTTCAGGTGATGTTGACCTGTTGGTGATGATTATGAGCGTTAAACAGCACAGTGACTGGAGGCTACTCATACGTCAGACATGGGCGTCACCAATTTACGACAAGTCCTGGAGCCAAAAAGGTTTGGTTAGATTGGTCTTTTTCTTCGGGAATGAAGGCTTCACAGATGTGCAGAATCTTGCATTGTACAACGAATCCAAACTTTATGGGGACATCGTTGTGGCAAGTTTTAAAGACAGCTACGGGAACTTGTCATTAAAGTTAGCCACGGCTTTGACCTGGGCGTCCAAACATTGTCCACATGCTAAATTGGTCGCTAAAGTTGACATGGACACTTTCGTCCTACTACCAACTCTGATGGAACTTCTCCCAACAATATCACACAACCACACGGAGTTTATACTAGGGCTTCAGCACCGTTCCCGCAAACCTCTTGTCCGACGTAAAGGAAAGTGGGCGGTGAAGAATGAAACTTACCCCTACTTTTACTTCCCTAAATACATCTACGGACATTCCTACGTGATGTCTGGTCCTACTGTTCACAAAATGGCTGCGAGTTTTCCCTTTGTTCACATCGTTCCTAACGAGGACGCGTTCATCACAGGTATCATGGCCGTCACGTTAAACATCATCAGACTGGACAATCCTACCTTTGCTTTCAGTTTAAAGAAATATAAAATTTGTGATTTGGTTTACGGATATTTTGTGACTGCGATATACAAAAAAATTTTCTTAAAAGATATATGGCGCAGTATATTGAATAGGAACTGCTCTTCAGTTATTATTAATTAATTAAGCAGAATTAAAGAAGAAACATACGAACAAAAATCTTCAATAAGTGTTATAGTATTTAGCAATAAAAATAACGATTTTAGGCAATAGATTTGTGTTTCACACAGCAAAGTACATTTTGTGAAATTAATTTATCAAAACGTCACGGTCATTTTTTTTTTACATTCCTTTCCAATCATGTACGATTTTGCTTCAAAAAATGTTTGAGAATTTAATGTTATTTGAAGATTATTTTATATAAATGCATGATCTGTTGATGTTGCCTTGTTTTTTTAATTACTTTAATTTAAAAACACTTTCTCTATTTATTTTCTGTTGTCTTTTATAAAATTGGTTTTAAATTCACATCAACAATTTGATTGCAGAGTTATTTTATTTTGTAACAAGTTACTTCATAAATCAGTTCGCTTTAATATTTTCGCAAAACATGTTAATAATTGCAAGAAATGTTTACAAAGTTTGAAAAACTCAACTTTGACCATTTTTTATGTATTAGAATCTAATAAGTAGTATTGTAAATCATAGCTTTAAGATTTGAAAAACTAGTTACTAGAACTTGATTGTATTTCAGTCCTTTGATAAACAAATTTAAATCCTTTAAAATAATCACATCATTATGAATATGATAAACTTTGAAATAAGATGTTTTACTGTATTTTTTAATTTTGTAAATTCTTAATAAATAAAAAAAAGTATCATTTTAATTTTAAAAAGAAGTTAGAATCATTTGGTATGGCCATTTTTTTAAAAATATAAGTTTAGCTTGTCAATACCTAATCACAGTCAATAATGTATCCTATTTTACGCTACATTATCCTCGACAAAATAAACAGCTGCGGTAAGCTATCGATCGTAGTATTGTGAGACCACCGAATAACATCGATCGACAAACATATTTTCTTTTATATTGGACACGTACAGTAGGCGAAGACAACTTGTATTTTGGACTTACTCAGTTTGTTCCCTCCCCTATGAGACAACGTTAATATTTTCAAAACATTTGTTATCGATTATGATACCAAAATTATCTTTACCGTCTCTTACACGTTACGCTTTATAATTAACTACATTTTGTTTTAATATCTGTAGTGTCATTTTTAAATATAAATATCGATTTCATTTTACAAGTTAATGATACAGAATACAAATATCAAGAAAATAAACATTTTGTAATTGAAATAAATAATAATCTTCTAAGCTTTCAATGGCAATAATCCAAAGTAGTGAAGCATAGAAATACACTTTTCGTGTATACAGAACTGATAACTGTAAAACAGCTCCATTTATCTTACACTTTTTGTTTCTTTCCTTTGTTTTCCAAAAACATTAAATTTGGATTCTTCAACACGTGTGTTATTTAGTGTAAATGTTTAGACGTTTTTCCTAATTGAAGTACAGTCAAAAAACTCTTCTGTTGGTAACTTCTATGCTCAAAGTCAAATCAACGATGTGTAACTGTTTTAATTAATGTGAATTATAAGGGGCTGGTCGGACTCTGGTTACTAAACAACAAAAATTCCAGCAATTAAAGTACGTTACATATTCTACATAGTCTCTGCTGCTGAACGTTAAGAGTTTTCTTCAAGAGCAGACGTCAAGGCTGCAGCATCAACAGGTGTAAGTAAACAAGTGACGTCACCAGGTGTAAGTAAGCAAGTGACGTCACCAGGTGTGGGTAAACAAGTGACGTCACCGGGTGTAAGTAAACGAGTGACGTCACCAGGTGTAAACAAGTGACGTCACCAGGTGTAAGTAAACAAGTGACGTCACCGGGTGTAAGTAAACAAGTGACGTCACCAGGTGTGGGTAAACAAGTGACGTCACCAGGTGTAAGTAAACAAGTGACGTCACTAGGTGTAAGTAAACAAGTGACGTCATCAGGTGTAAGTAAACAAGTGTCGTCACCAGGTGTAAGTAAACAAGTGTCGTCACCAGGTGTAAGTAAACAAGTGACGTCACCAGGTGTAAGTAAACAAGTGACGTCACCAGGTGTAAGTAAACAAGTGACGTCACCAGATGTAAGTAAACAAGTGACGTCACCGGGTGTAAGTAAACAAGTGACGTCACCAGGTGTAAGTAAACAAGTGACGTCACCAGGTGTAAGTAAACTATTGTCCTCACTGGATTAAGTAAACAATGGATCTCGTCAGATACAAACAAAATCTGAACTCAACCTATTGTAATATTGATATTATAGCGCTATATATTTGACTTCAGTTCTTGAATTAGTCAATCGTTTTATTTATAAAATGTATCGCCGACTATCTAGACTAATAACTTTATAGCACTACAACAGTTAATACAGCTCTATTGACCACTAATATGATTCTAATCGTCGGTCAATATTTTATTAATTTATTATTGCATAGTATCAAACAAAATATTCAGATAACAACTTATAATATCTGTTGCAATTAATTTTTCTCTTTAACCTTTGAAATTTGATGTATAAATATATTATGTTTTTCCATTTGTTTCCAAATGCATATTTTCAATTGTTATTGAATTGTCTTTGAAATAACCAAGTCGAAAAAATATTAAAACGACAAAATACATGTACTAAAATAAAGTAGGTGGAGACGTTAAATCAGATGACAATGTGTTTAATAAACATTCTTTTGAATTAAAATAAAAAGCATTAAATAAATAAATACATAAAAAATAGGATTTTCCTCATTCAAATTATTATTGTAAAACAACTTGAATTGCGTTAATATAATGAGTTAGGTATGTTGAGGGCAAACAATAGGAATATAGTCTAAACAGTCAACAGAGGATAGAAAAAACTTAAAACTGTGAGAAACACAATGCATCTCTTGTCATGTGCATCGTAAAGTAGAAATTTCATCTTAAAATTTTAAAATTAACTTTTTTAAAAAAAAAAGAAGTATTGCTTAAATTGCGAAATCTTAAGATAAAAAAACTTAAACTCTTTATTTAATTTTCGTACTTTAAATTGATATTTGGCCAACACGTAATAGTTTCGTAAGCGTTTAAAATTTTATTTTTAAAATTTTTTAGATTAATATATGGTGTATAATATAATCAAACGTAATAAATTAAATATAAACAATTCAAAAGAGATAATATTGAAAAGCCATTATAATTTTCATTAAAGGAAGAAATCGTTTAGACACCTATCTATAACATGCTTTCTTTGAATAAGTTTTAACTTTTTCACTTGAATAAGTGAATACATTTTAATAGAATATGTATATGTTCGTAAATCGATTTGCGTTATTCATTTTTTTAACTATTAATTCCAGAAATACAGTGTCAATTAACTTATGTGGTACAATGTTTAGAAATTAGTTTTTGTTGGATACATTTTCATTTTTAACAAAGCTAATTAGTTACGCCTGTCAGAAAACAAAACAAGAAACTTATTTTATAAAAAAACGTAAGTCCTAATTATTCACCAAAAGAAGATTTAATACAGACGAAATAAAGAGAATAAACTTAGTGAATTTATTACCTGTAAAATTATGGTACATTGTGAGCAAATTAACATTGGTTATTACATGGGAAGACAATACAATATTTGCAGAAAATAATCACACAACAATTAATCACAGGTTGCATTTTCCTTTAGTGTAGTAATATATTCGTATTCTGATAAAAATACAATTTCTGTAAAACATAACAAAATAGTTGTATTCCGAAAATAATACAATTTCTGTAAAACATAACAAAATATGTGTATGCTGATAATAAAACAATTCCTGTAAACCATAACAAACGTCTATGCGTTCTTATTATTAAGCTTTGCCCGAAATTTGGAAAGCGAAAGGCCCAAGGGCATGGGTCATCATGAGTTTTGTGCAATAATTTGCAGAGCATAAACGGTATTGAGCAACACAAACGAGATTTAGTCTTACACGAAAAATTAATTTAAATATACAGAGTAAAATGTCTCATGTGGAAAAAAAGATATATTTCTCTAGTTCTACAATACTGACAATTATACAAATATCTTCAAATTAATGGTTTAAAAATAATTTAGGGCCGTAATTTGAGAATTACTTTTGAAGGCAGCAGATTATTGTGTATCAGCAATTTAAAAACATAGATAAATAATAAATAAACATATAGTTTAACTAATAGAAGTAGATTTTTTTAAAACAGCTTATCTCTGTGACAAGGTAGTGGCAAAATATTCTACTGCTCAGTTGAAAAAAAAATATTTAAAAAATTTAAGAATCTGAAACTGCTTAAGTAATCCTTGACTGTTAACAAAATTTAAATCTCAACTAAACGCTATGTAATTAGTCATAAATATTTTTTGATAGGCACATCATATTTAATATAAAAAGCTTTTGTCGATAGCACATTATCAAACATCGAACTACAATTTCGTAAAGTTTCTATTATGTTTTTAATTTTAAGCTACGTTAAGAATTATACTTATATAACGAACCATTAAATCTTTACAAGAACTTTGTCAAGTGTCTAGATTATTTTTACTCCCCTGTATGTCATGGTTCGGTGTCTATTTGTGGCAATAGATGCAAGGAAATACCTCGTTCGGTTTTGTTAAAAGTTGTTAAGTATTTAACATCAATTTATTAATAGCGATCAATATGAAAGGGAGACAGTGTGAAATTATAATTTAATAGACCATTGCATAAGTAGGTTATATCTTAGTTTTAGCCCCGAGTCTCTAGTGTTACATAAAGTTTTACCTGTTGCCAAAAAGTGATTAATTAAATTCGTACATCTGCTGTTCTTCTATATAACGTTTTGTTTGATAATTTTGCATGTTTCTCTACCCTATTAAAGCTCAATGTTTAGAAAGTCTATTTGTTAAGGTTATAGCGTTGAATTTTACTCTACCTAATAAAGCTCAATGTTTTGAAAGTCTACATTTCAAGTAAAATTTCTTCCAGGCATCACTTCGGTGTGCTAAGCCCCACCCCCACCCCCCACCCCCGAAAGTCTACCGCGCCCCCCCCCCCACCGAACGAAATGGAATTTATATAGAAAATATTTACTTTTAACAGTGTCCGCCCCACCCCCCGGAAATTTTAACCCCCCCCCCCCGAAAAATTTCAAGCCCGCCCCCCCCCCCCCTCTCCGGAGAAAATGGTCTTGAAGAAACACTGGTATTAAGGTGACGCCCTAAAGCGTTTGAAGCGGCTCAATCTCCATCATCCCGTGCGACATGGCCGACCTGATCAAACTGACGTGTCCAGCCAGCCCCTGCCCGGCCAGGTAGTTCTCCTCACAGTGTGGGGGCACGTTCCCGTGGGTCATGGCCAGCTTGAAGCAGGTCTGGGAGAAAAACGCCCGGCTGTCCGTGTCTCGCACGATATCCAGGAACCGCCGGAGGGGGAGGATGTGACTGGTGGCGGCGTTCCAGTAGGTTAGGAAGTCTTCGACGATGTGGTGAATTTTATCTGGGCGTGGCAGGACCTCGTCAGCTAACTTCGTGTTCATCATTTTCTCTGGGGGTTAAAGGCAACGAAATGTTAGCTTGTAAATCAAAACAAAGTTACTTATACTGAAATATATAACGTTAGACCAGGGGTCTCCAAACTACGGCCCGCGGGCCGGATGCGGCCATCGGAAATCTTTTTGTCCACGGAAAAAAACGTTTGTTGGTGATGGCTGAGGAACTTTGGCCAGAAAAATCAAATACATGCCTGAAAGAACATGGCCCCCCGAACTAAAATTTGATAGTTAATGCGGCCCTGGGACTGAAAAGTTTGGAGACCCCTGCGTTAGACTATTCCTATTTATGAAGTGGGTAAGGATGATAAGTATGTTGTGTTGTACTTGGGCCCCCACCAAAAATTGGTATAGTTTTCAGTAGTCAGAAACAGGCGAGGTAAAACTAGCTGTCCCTTTTAGACTGACACTAGAATGTAATCATTGAAGCGCCAAAATTAGAAAAAATATTGAGTTCTCAAATGATTATCTGAGGATGGACTTTGAAGACATCGTTTATACCAACCCTCTAAGAACCAACCTCCTCGCCTTCAGAAATATATCACGTGATCAGGTTATCTATAACAATCGCTTCTTGAATCAATAGGCGAATCATAATCAGAATGGTTATGGTGAGGGGAGTTAGTCGTGGCATGGAGAAGTTTACAGTTAACGGTAATGACTAGCTTCCCTTGAACCGAATTCTAGATTATTTCCCACCAGAGATCATATTACCTATCATAGTGTCTATCCCTTAACTCATTTTTTGTATCTGAACATGTTTTAAATATGTGTTCTATACTGTACCTGCAAAGAGCATTGAACACGCCTTTGATCTACTTAAAACTCTACAATCAAGAAATATTGAACACGTTTTTAAATCGATCTACACCAGTGGTTCTTAACCTGGGCTCAATAAAAAAAAAACGGGGGTTCGCCAAGTCAGTCTAGGGGTTCGTAGGTCATGACGCACACTGGAAATATGACTCACGATATGAATATATCAGTGCGGACGATAAACCTATTAAGTAGGGTTCAGCAGAGGCGTAGCGACCCCTCCCGGCGCCGGGGACAAACTTTCGATTTGCGCCCCCCCCCCCCCCCCCCCACCTCGAACGTTTCATTTGCACACCCCCTCAAACTTTCGATTTGGCGCCCCCTAAATTCGGCGCCCGGGGACATATGTGTCCCCCCGCCCCCCCCCCCCCCCTCGCTACGCCTCTGGGGTTCAGTGAATCCGCATATGGTGGGGTTCGGTACCTCGAAAGAAGGTTAAGAACCACTGATCTACACTCTCTCTACAAGATACATGTTTAAAATTGATCTGTGCTCTACCTGTAGGCAGGGTCTTGTAGTAATAAATAACCGGATGTAGAAAGTTGGACGTGTGGGCCTCTGATGGTTCACCTGTCGCCCGGTTAAGTCTGAACACATCCCGGCCCGGCCCAGAGAAGTTGTGGCCGTACTCTAGCACCACCACCAGCAGAGAGGAGGCGTTGTGGCCGGTATACTCAGGTAGCTTATGCAGCACGTTGATGGGATATTCTTCTAGAACTTTCACACTTTGGCCATCACTGTAATGAAGCACATAAGTGTACAAACTGTTTATATATATATATATATATATATATATATATATATATATATATATATATATATATATATATATATATATATATATATATATATATATATATATATATATATATACATATATATATATATACATATATATATATATATATATATATATATATATATATATATATATATATATATATATATATATATATATATATATATAATACATATTATACGAAAGCCTTGTGTGTTGCCTGTGTGTAAGTGTGTATATATGTGTAAATAACTAAATCAAACTTACTCAGAAAATAGGAAGACATCACCAAGCATCTGCAGATAACACAAAAATGATTGCAGTTAGACAAACACCTACATAAAAGAAAAACATCCTACGCAATGTAAAACAATAATCACACATAATCAAAGAGACCATATTAAACTTTTACGACATGGAAATCCCTACTAGCTGAATCGAAGGAGAAATCCCGCACCTTAAAAAAAGAGAAATGCGACCAAACAGAAACATAAAAAATCCCACCTACCCTTAGCTAACGAGGAACTCCATCTGCCTGAGAAAAAGGAGAAATCCCACCTACCTTGGATAAAAGAAAAATCCCACTTGCCAATCAGAAATCCCACATACCTTGTAAAAAAGAAATCCCACTTGCCAAGGAGAAATCCCACCTACCCTGGACAAAAAAAATCCCACTTGCCAAGGAGAAATCCCACCTACCCTGGACAAAAAAAAATCCCACTTGCCAAGGAGAAATCCCACCTACCCTGGACAAAAAAAATCCCACTTGCCAAGGAGAAATCCCACCTACCCTGGACAAAAAAAAATCCCACTTGCCAAGGAGAAAACCCACCTACCCTGGACGAAAAAAAAATCCCACTTGCCAAGGAGAAATCCCACCCTAGACAAAAGATAAATCCCACTTCCCTAGACACGTGAGAAATCCCACCTACCTGAAACATCTGATAAGGCCCCGAAGCTTCGTTCATTCTTTTGATCATCGTGTTGAGCATATCAGCAGCAGGAATCTCGTAATAAGGCCAGGGTATGTTTTCATACCTCCACTCCAGCAGTCTGTGTAAGGCACGGGCTGAAAGAAATTGTACACACCCCATTGAAGGAAAGTTCCAGATCTTAAAATATCAAACGCAAATAAAAAAAAATCAGTTTTATTAATGCTTTACGCCTTTTAAAAAATACATTATAGCTTTAGTTTTTTAAGATTGCTCGACATTAAAATTTGTAATTATAAAATACCAAAAAAGTTTTCAATCAAAACGATCGCATTATCAAGAGTTTAGGCAAAAAGAAAAAAAATGGTTTTGAAATTTATTTTGGATAGTTTTCATAACAAAATATTCAAATTGGAATGAACGTATTTTAGGAAAATTAACACAATGGCGCGTGCATAACTATAATATAACCTCAGTTAACTCCCTTAATAGTTTTTTTTTACTTTCTAGTAGTAGTTATGTGTCAAGTTTTCTGTGATTTCCGGTAACCGGAAGTGGGGCTTATTCTACTATCAATTTTTCAAAAGCCTATAGCTTGAATACTATTTCTGATAGTTGACATTTCACATATTGGTAAAAAAAATATCCACTTCTCTGTTTTCTGTAACAAATTTTTAGTAATTTCCGGCGACAGGGAATAGTACTTTGAGCTAATTCCGATTTCTCAAAAACGCATATGAATTTATAAAGGACTATTGTTCCGCAGTATTATACACGCATTGCTTGTAGTTTAGTTGGTGCGCCATTCTTTTTTCTACGAGATTCTATTCTATTTTTAAAAAGTTTATATAAAAATTGATAAAAAAGCGTGTATATATCCCGAGTAGCCATCACCCGCAGTGTTATTTAAGAATATTCGAGAAAGTTTATTTATTGTTATAATTCTAAGCAGCTGTTTTAGCGGCAAATTTGAACTGTTTGAGTTAAGGTGTAATGTGAACTGAAACTGTAACTTAAAACATTACATTATGCTCCGGCGCAGAACAGAAGGGGACAGGGGGGGGGGAGGGGGTGGAAAATCATACTATTTACTTACTGCTAAAACAATGTATTATCAAATTAAATCCAGGGACAGGGGTGACTAACAAAAAATAGCAAAATTTTACAGAAAGGTAGAGTGACACCTTCAGTTACTGCACTGGGTGACACCCGACCTAGCCACGCCTTTCATTTCACTGACCGGTGTACCGGAAACCGTGGATGAAACCGCCAGCTGATTTCCGGAAGTCGAGAGAGTGGGACGCGGTCCCTGCATAGAAGAGTCCTCTGGTGTCTTTAGACTCGTAGTTGTGGTGTATGGCGGGATACTTTTTGGCTCGGTCTTTACCCCGGCTGATGGCTGTATTGCTGTATCAGATAGTCGAAGGTTTATCACCATACAGTATAGAGCAATGCATATATATATATATATATATATATATATATATATATATATATATATATATATATATATATATATATATATATATATATATATATATATATATATATGTATGTGTGTGTGTGTGTGTGTGTGTGTGTGTGTGTGAGTAGGGGATTATAATTGACTAACTTGAAGACAGAGGCATCAAATATAAAGCCGAGAGCCCGTATGACGACGTCGTAGGACTCCCGTAGCGCGAAGTTGTCGAACTTGTGGATGCCATGAGATTCGTCGATCTCCACGTGAATCTTGTTGCCCCGCTTGACGAAGTACATCTCCTCCACGGGTGACTCCAGCAGGGCGTCTAGTGATTTCAGCTGGTACGTGTCCAGCAAGGCATCGTTCACAGCTCTGGGGACAGGGAGATGTAATAGTTTTTAAACGTTTGGAAATTAAAAAAAAATTTGGGGGGGGGGGGGACACAGGAGATCTAATAGTTTTTAACCGTTGGGAAATTTTTTTTTGGGGGGGGGGGGGGACAGGGAGATGTAATAGTTTTTAACCGTTGGGAATTTTTTTTTGGGGACAGGGAGATGAAATGGTTTTTAACCGTTGGAAATTATTTTTTATTGCATGAAAAACAATTTAATTACAAACTTTTATGTAATAATGCGATAAAAAGTAGAAAATACATGATTTTCTTTAAATATATAATAATACAGTACTTTTTAAAATTACTTTAAAGAAAACCTGTGTCACTTTATTATCTATTGGATACCTATACTAGTATTTAGGAAGACCCACGAGCCGAATTTCAAGGAAATGTATCGGCTAGAAGAGCCCGAAATTTCGTTCGTCCGTTTCGACCCAGACAGGAATAAGATGAAGGAAGTTAAATAAAACGTTGTAAAAAGGAAGATGGCACTGGGTGGGGTTACGTCTATAGAAATTATCCAGATCATATCGCAAGAATGGCGCTAAACTGGACGCTTCATGGGGAAAGAAAGCAGGGAATGCCAAAGGAGATGAGAAGGCGCACGGCGGGGAAGCAGCTGACAGGGGCAGGGCTATCATGGGGGACTGGCTTGAGATTGACAAAAGTGGAGGGAGATTTATGTGGCGGCGCTTTGTGATATGCGAACATAAAGGAAGAGATGAATAATAATTGCAAGATGTTTTTATGTTTTCTTTGTATGTTTATATGTGTTAATTTTACTGGGTTTTTTGTGTGTGTGTGTGGGTTAGTTTGTCTTGAAATTTTATTCGTCATGCCGTCGATTCAGGTGTCCTGAGGTGTGTTGTGTTGAAACGCGCACAACTTGCCAGATCAAGATAAAAAATATGACAAAATAGATTTCACTAAAAAAAATGACGGAACAATCCTGTTGTAATTATTTTCCTACCCTCACAGCTGTTCAGTGTGAGACATGTTTTTACAAAAGCTGTCGGGTCTTTCGTTTCAAGTAATTGATTTTTCGCACTTTTCGATCAGTCGTTGTATTGAACCTACACGACATATGGTGCGTGGGTTACATCATACAAGCTTACACCAACGTTATTTACACGAACTGATCGGTGTAAAATCTACAAATAGGTTCTATGGTAAACTGGCCAGTGAAAATCTGCGTTTAGGTTTCATAGTGGATGCCCTGTATAATGCCCTGTATACTGCCCTGTATAATGAATGCCCTGTGTGGTCTGTATAACGCAAAAAATATTTTTGGTTGGACCTATTATTTAGACGACATAACACCAATACGTAATGCGTGCAGTGTAACATTTTTTGTAACGCCAGCTTACATGTTATATTATATAATTTTTACATTACAGTTTCCAAAAGCGGCTTTTCTCTTTCTGTTACTATTGTTACGTCGTACTGTTGTGACGTTGCTATGGTTACGTCGTGGCTCTCTTAAGTAGCATATAATGTGACGTTGCTATGGTTACGGCGTGGCTCTCTTAACTAGCATACAGATGAAAGCCATCAGATTCATGCTTCCATGTATGTTCAAGCGACATAAACGTCATATCTCAGTTACATCACCCTCTATTTAATCATTATGTCATTTTACGTCACTACACCAAAATCGTCATTTCACACCAGACTTTTGTCCCGTTACACCAGGGGTCTCCAAACTACGGCTCGCGGGCCGAATGCGGCCCGCGAAGTCCTCTCATCCGGCCCGCGGAGATCTTTTTCTTCAAGGAAAAATCGTTTGTTGGTGATAGCTGAGGAACTTTGGCCAGAAAAATCAAAGACATACCTGGAAGAAACTGACCCCCGAACTGAAATTTGATAGTTAATGCGGCCCTCCGATTGAAAAGTTTCGAGACCCCTGCATTACACTAATCTTATGTTATTTTACGGTCAGGTCTTTATAACCGTTGTTTATAATACCTGGCTGACGGCACATCAACATAAGAACATCACGTGGTACCTTAGATCCCCTACGTAGTGCGTGGACCAAGCCAGACGAACACGTGACCTAGCCAGCATGTGAATGAGGTTCGTTGACCCGTAGATACTATCTGCTATCTCGAAGGCGGTGTTGCCTCTGCCTACAGAGAATATTGTAAAAGGAATATAACACAGGTAGTCCCTATTTGTGGAAGTCTTAAAGGGTATACTGAACAGGTAATTATAGAAATCTTAGATGCTATATTGTAATTGTAATTATAGATGTCATTAATGATATATTATTCAGGTACTTATAGAAGTCTTGGATGATACATTTCGCAGGTAAATATAGAAGTCTTACAGGATATATGTTAAGGGAATTATTTAAATCTTAGCTAAGATGATTTATTGTAAATTAATTAAGAAAGTCGTAGAGAGTATACTTTTCAGGTAATTATTGAAATCTTAGTGAATATATTGTACAGGTAATTATGGTATTCTGAGAGCATATTGTACAGGTATATAAGAATGTCTTAAAGGATGTATTTGACAGATAATTACGGCAGTTCTTGACTAATTAATTATAATCCTCATTTCACTGCATATACTTTTATGTAATGTATTAATCCTTTAAATAAGATGCTATAATTTCAATAATACATGTGTAAAATTTATACTATTGAATTATACGGTATAGTTTTTTTCTGATATTAATGAAATGGTATACCACCAGAGGCATAAAACCTGAGACTGACCTAAAATTAAAACACTCTTTCCTTCGTAATCGTCTGGGTTCAAGGACATCGTCTCGTACCCCGTGGTGAGATCAATACCCTGAACTTGCCGTGGTATATTGGGAGTGGATATACCCGTTGCCATGATCAGCGTTCTGGAAAATTACGGCGTTCACGTTTTAATTGTACAGTAACTAGGATAGTGGGCAAGGAAAAGTTCCTAATCAAACAGGCAAATTACCCTTTAGACCCTGGTGGTCTGTGGTGCAGATGAAGTAGAGTTCACCTATTACTGTGACCTAGGGATAGTGTGGTCATCAGAATGCTCGGCCACCTCTATTTCTGAGGTAACCGTCTGAACTTGGTGAATTCAAGTTCGGTATCCGACTTCGAGACCTTCGGGTTAGTAGTCGTATGCTCTACCACCCAACCACGCCTCAACATTATCAGTCATACAAGGAACGTTTGTTAACATCACTAAGGAGCTGAGATAGATTTTACATAGGGTCTCTTTAGGATTGCCCATTCGCCATAGCTAGCTTAGGTCCGGTTGGGATCGCCTAAGGCTGCCCAGCTAATTCGGGACCCATTGGGGGTGCCTATGATCAAAGCAGTATAATTTATGAAAGAAGAAAATGTTACCTATATGCACGTATAGCACTTACATGTATGTATAATTCTTACCTGTATGTATAACTCTCACCTGTATGTATAACTCTCACCTGTATGTATAGCACTTACCTGTATGTATAACTCTCACCTGTATGTATAACTCTCACCTGTATGTATAACTCTCACCTGTATGTATAACTCTCACCTGCATGTATAACTCTCACCTGTATGTATAACTCTCACCTGCATGTATAAGTCTCACCTGTATGTATAACTCTTACCTGAATGTATAATTCTCACCTGCATGTATAACTCTCACCTGAATGTATAATTCTCACCTGCATGTATAACTCTCACCTGCATGTATAACTCTCACCTGCATGTATAACTCTCACCTGCATGTATAACTCTCACCTGTATGTATAACTCTCACCTGCATGTATAACTCTCACCTGTATGTATAACTCTTACTTGCATGTATAACTCTCACCTGTATGTATAACTCTTACCTGCATGTATAACACTGACCCATCTGGTCATTCATCGTGTAAACATGACCATCTGGTGCTGACATATTTCTCACGGCTTGGATATTTCTAATGTCGGTGTTGAACTGGACATTCAACTTTAGTTTTTTCTAACGAGAACAATGAAAGCCATCATTAATTTAGGAATTACACAGTCAAAAGATAAATAAAATTTATCAGTTGCAGTTGATATCGGGTACCATTTAATACGTCAACAATCAACTCTAACAAATTGACTTTTGGAGACTTTCATCAAATGACTTGGACACGCGAATGGAAAGTGTTCGATGTCGGACGAGTTAATTAAAAGTCATCCGAATACTGAACGTGGTCACATACATGGAAAATGTCCGAACGCAGGTTTAGACTATTTACATGAATGTCGTTCAAATGCCGTATTGGGACATTCACATGGATGTCATGTCAACATTAACAGTGGACAATCTTCTTAAAGTTATCTAACAAGCGGATAGGACACACTTTTAAGAACATTCAACAACCGGACTATGTCACACTTCTAAGAATGTCCAACGACCGGATAGGACACACATCTGAAAACCTACAACAACCGGATTAGGTCACACGTTTAAAACCACCCAACAACTGGACTAGGTCACACGTTTGAAAACATCTAACATCCGGACTAGGTCACACGTCTTAAACCGCCAAACAACCGGACTAGATCACACGTCTAAAACCGTATAATGACCGGACTAGGTCTAATGTCTAAAACCGCTTAACATCCGGACTAGGTCACATGTCTAAAACCGCTTAACATCCGGACTAGGTCACACGTCTAAAACCATCCAACAACCGGACTAATTGACTCACCCGGTAATCGTCCAAATACCGGACCAGAACATCCGCGTGCGGGAAGACGTCCTTGGAGTACCTGGTGACCTTGAGGTCCTCATCGTCCGAGATGAGCGAGTTCCAGTCGTGTCTGAGATTAAACTCCTGGTTCTGCTGACCGGTGTAGCGCTTGTTCAGGCTGATCAACTTCCGGTGACGTGGGTACATGTCAAAGAAGCTGCCTGTATCCACAGGCAAAAAGTTGGGTTCAGATATTTGTGTTTCTTTCAGTCTTTTTTCTACGGGGTGTGGGGGGGGGGGAGACTTAATACTTTATGGGGGAGGGGGGGCGGACTAAATTTTCCGAGAGACAGACTCTGATAAACGTATATATTGTCTATATAAATTTCATTTCATTCGGGCGGGGGGGGGGGGGGGAACAGTGTTTCTTCCAGACATTTTTCTTCGGGGGGGGGGGGGGGGGCACTTGGAATTTTCGGGACGGTAGACTTTCTTCGGGGGGGGGGGGGGGCGGACAGCAGAGACCCCCGAAACTGTACATTTTTTAAAACTATAACCCATTGAGATTATCTCTCATTAGGACCCCGGTCTTAAATATAAAGCTAAGCTTCACCGCATCAACTAAACCCTAGTACGCACATGTTAAGGTTACATGTGAGCAATAAGTTTAGGGGATAGATTTGCATACTCGTGTAGTATTTTTAAAATTAAAAAAAGTGCAGAATGCATAAGAATACTAATGGATGGAATAATCTTGCTTATCATCTAAAAATTACTTAACTATCTATGTTTTTTAACTTCAACAATCTTATGCTTCAAAAGTGTTTTAGCTCTAAAATATAAGCTATCGTTTCCACGAGATACATGGGTCATTGAAGTGGGGTTCACGTGTTTATTGACTTCAGCATAAGAAGGGATGGTGTGTTCAGCATTATGCCCAGCCGCCTTTACTTTCCCTAACTTGAGTCATGTACCCTTCAAAGCTGGGTGAACTCTGAGTTAGAGATCCGAACTCGAATCTTTCGGACTAGCACTCTGGTTGTCTAACACTTAACCAGGCAGTCCTATTTTGTTATGCCCATTTTTAAATACTCCTATCAATTTTCGAAAATTCAAGACAATCCCAGAACGTATTTTTATAAATACGTAATTTTCTTAGATTTTATACATAACCTTCCTAATTTTCATTACGTGTCCTTATCCTAACATAATCTTCTTAAATTCTATACATGTTTAGGATATTTCAGTGAGCTTCCGTATTGTAGCTTAACCTTCCTAAATTTCATTACGTGTCCTTATCCTAACATAACCCTTTTAAATTTCATTATTGTCCTTATCCGAACATAACTTTCTTAAATCTCATCACGTGTCCATACCCGAACATCACCTTCCACGCACCTGATATGTTGCTCCTCTCGAACACGACGTAGTCTCTGTTTGCCCGCTTGAAGAAATACCCCAGCTGAAGTCCGCTGGGCCCAGCCCCGACGACACAGTAATCGTGGTAGACACACCCCTCGGCACTGGTCAGTGTGACAAGGCAGAGAGTGACCAACAGGCTCACAAGGACCATCATGGTGCGGGTTTGTCTGTTTTGCTGCAAGAGTGACTCCACAGATGACGCTATTCGGGTGGTATCTGGGAAGAAGAAATGTGTTGATTTGAATTTAATAAGAGCTGGAGTATTTGACTAAAATCTCTTTCGCTGGTAACATCTGAAAGGAATGTATTTATTTATAAATGTTGATAAAATGACCTGGAAGAAGACACCAAGAAGATTGGATACACCTGGAGACAGTTGGAGAGACTAGCCCAGGACAGGATACACCTGGGGACAGATGGAGAGACTAGCCCAGGACAGGATACACCTGGGGACAGTTGGAGAGACTAGCCCAGGACAGAGACGCCTGGAAAGCTCTTGTCAGTGGCCTATGTCCCAGGAGGGACGACAGGCTAATCTAACCTAACCTAAAATGAGATATCTAAACCATGCTGTTTTTAAATTAGTGATTGGTTATTAATAGAAGTACGTCTGTAGCTGCTCGTATGTATAAAACGCAAGACTAGCGCCTACAGGCAAGGGTAGTACCACATAGCACATGACTTAGTCGTAATGTGTACAAAAAACAACTCTACTAAGTGCATACTTTGTTGACCATACATCGTATTACTTATTTTAGTTACAAGCAACTGATAAAGACATTTGTATTTAACTACTCAAATAAAGAAGAAAAGATTACGTTGGGGTTTTCAGAGGTTAACTCGTACAAACATATCCAAACCACAATGACCTTATTGATTAGAATAGAATACTTCTAACATATTATCAATATTGTTGTGTTAAATTTACAAACTTTCTCAATGCAATTATACCACAATAGTGGGAACAAAAATCCAATTATTAATAGAATTAAGTCTTAAACAGATGTTCCTAGCAAACAAATATTTTTTTTTAAACCAACGAAAACATCTGGACAGAGTCAATTTAATAGCCCCATTGGGAATCTACAGCGGATGTTTGACCGTCGGTCCTTGTCTTTCTGTGACGCGGAACAGCTAGTCGGAGGCTGGGATTTAAAAGGCTATAAAACAGAAGAGCTAGCCGGACGCTGATTTAAAAGTCTGTAATGAGGCAGGGCTAGCCGGACGCTGATTTAAAAGTCTGTAATGAGGCAGAGCTAGCCGGACGCTGATTTAAAAGTCTGTAATGAGGCAGAGCTAGCCGGACGCTGATTTAAAAGTCTGTAATGAGGCAGGGCTAGCCGGACGCTGATTTAAAAGTCTGTAATGAGGAAGAGCTAGCCGGACGCCGAGATTGAAAAGGGACCACTTTCAGGAGTACTTGTCATCCGCTCAAAAACAGGCGTGGTACGTCATCGCGTTTCCGTACCAGCTATCGGAATTAGGACAGTGGGTTTTGTCAGGGGCTAACTTTGGGTGAAACAAATTAATTTTAATTTGCCAGGAGGATAAAAAAATAGAACAGAGTTGTGATAGAGAGAAATAAAAGGGGATGGTGAATGACGTGATGCTATATAATATCAAACTTTATAAAGAAGCAAAAATATATCAAAACTAGAAATTTATTACCTACAAAATATGTTGGTTACTTTTCATATTTTAGCTCAAAAGATTAATTTCACAGGGATAAAAATATTTAAAACACTTAATTAATTAGTAGCAATAGATAGGTCTAAATGTGACGTGATGTATCAAACTTTATAAAGAAGGAAAAATTTATTTTAAAAATAGAAATTTATTACATACATTAACATAAAATATGTTGGTTAATTTTCATATTTTAACTCAAAAGATTTAATTTCACTGGAATAAAAATATTTAAAACACTTAATTAATTAGTATGAAACTTTATAAAGAAGCAAAAATATATTAAAAAATAGAAACTTATTACATATATTAACATGCAATATGTTGGTTAATCTTCATATTTAGCCCAAAAGATTACATTTCAAATGGATACAAATATTTTAAAAAATTAATTAATCAGTAGCGATAGATAAATTCACGCCCTTAAAATAACAATGGCACTACTTACAAAACTACAAGCAACAAACCAATACTCCACAGCTGTGCAACACTAAAGAGACGAACAACTCTATACGCATCTGTTGTCACTACTGTTGAATGCATAAGCTCGCAACTAAAACAACAGCCGATTAATTACAGACAGTGTAAAGTAGGGTGGAATGCACTGTGTTATTTTCAACACTCGACAACAAGCAGATGTTTCCCGTTCGATTAGTTGATGGTTGCAAGTGTTAGATTGGTTGTATCCCTCTCTGACGAAGTTGCTGGTAAATAATGTGTTAAAACCCAAGTTATACCAAGGTAAAAAGGAGTTTTATCCCGCTTTAAATAATAGTTATTAGATAAGTTAAGTAGTATTTAGATTTAGGGCGATTAAAAGGATTTAACATTGTCAGCAGTGTGCCCCACTGTATTAACTCTACCCTTGTAGGACAATCACGCATCAGACTTAAATGGAAACAGTTGCACTCTGTAAACTCGGCGCTAGTTCTAGACTTGTGAAAGTTGAATTCTGTAGGCTTCGCGCTACAAGTTGTATATTTGTGACAATTGAATTCTGTAAATTTTGCGATACAAGTACTAGACTTGTGACAGTTGAATTCCGCAGACTTTGCGCTACAAGTACTAGACTTAAGACAGTTGAATTCTGTAAACTTTGCGCTACCAGTACTATATTTGTGAAAGTTGAATTCCGTAGACTTTGCGATACAAGGACTAGACTTGTGAAAGTTGAATTCTGTTGACTTTGCGCTACATGTACTAGACTTGTGACAGTTGAATTCTGTAAACTCTGCACTACAAGTACTATATTTGTGAAAGTTGAATTCCGCAGACTTTGCGCTACATGTACTAGACTTGTGAAAGTTGAATTCTGTAAACTTTGCGCTACCAGTTCTAGACTTTCGGGTGAACTGTCGGAATTTCTACCACTGGACCACGCCATCCAGTTTTAGTGTAAGCATTGCAGTGGGCAATGAACATGATTAGTCACATTAGTACACATTTAGAAAAAACTTGAAAACGAATTCAAATCTTATTTTTTTTACATTGAAGAGTATTCCACATTTCTCTGGTAATGGACTTTTAAAACTGAAATCTATCAAATAAGATCTTCTGTGGTTATGTAATATGTAGGTCAATGAGATGAGTTATCGATTAGATTCCGCCTCGGCAACAGCGGAACTTTTTCTGGAAACTTTCCAAATCTTGGTGAAGACTTCGATATCTTGACATCTTGGGTTACTGGGTTCATGTAATACTTTTCTTATAGAGATTAGGGCGGATAAGGGGAGTGGGTGATTGGAAAATGTGAAGCAACCATTACGTTTAGCATATTAAACTATCTCTGGTTATATATATATATATATATATATATATATATATATATATATATATATATATATATATATATATATATATTCAAAATGATAATGTGGCCAGCACTATGCACATCCGCCTTTGTTTCCCGCGAGTTAGGTACCCATCAGAGCTGGGTTGACTCTGGGACGTTCTACTGATTTGAACCCGGATTTGAACTCGAGACTTTCGGGTTAGCAATCTAGCTCTCATCAGTCATATATATATATATATATATATATATATATATATATATATATATATATATATATATATATATATATATATATATATATATATAGGGAGAGAGAGAGAGAGAGAGAGAGAGAGAGAGAGATGATGATGTATATGGTGTGTGCATTGGTTGTATAGTTAGAGACACCACACTATTATTGTGGTACATAGCAGTATACAGATTATTAGCATTTGAGATCACTGTTACATATCAGTAAAATTATAGTAATCCAGAGGGCTAACGTCACTAAATGATTAAAGTGGCTAATTTCATAAGCTCTGCTTAAATATATATTTCAATTTGAATTATTTCAATACTTTAACGGTGCATTTGTTTCTGAAACTGATTTTATTATCATTTCATTTGACTAAAATACCATATTTATGTGCAATTAGAAGCCATCAAATTAAAATAATTGCCTCGCTAGATTCCGTAAAGAAAAAAACAAAATGGAAATAAGAATGTGTGAACTATACAAAAAATAGACTGAATACATTCCATATAACGAGCTTGGGGAATCTTTTACTAGACGATTCTGCGACTGCGTGGGTGTCAATGTCATCTGAACATTTGCATAATTTCAGTTTCCATATTTGTAGATACACCAGCAAGGAAGAGATGAATGGAGTGGGGGTGGCGGGCTGGTCTTAAATCTGGGTGAGTACACGCCTACTCACTCCAAGAATAGATGTGACTATTTTTAAACCATTCAAGAAAAATAAAAACTACAACTGGGAAACAGATGAGCATGTGTTTTTGGATCTGAATAATTGGGTTTCGAGAATTTCACATAAATCTTAAGGACACAGTAAGCCATTCAACATTTCTCAGTCTATGCAATATGTTTATAGACTGCTAAATTTAGAAACTTTATGGTTATATATATATATATATATATATATATATATATATATATATATATATATGTAATATATATATATATATATATATATATATATATATATATATATATATATATATATATATATATATATATATATATATGTCATTTTGTGAAAGTGAAAGAATTGCTATGTTACGTTGCGGGTACGGAAAGATATTTTAGTGAAAAAGTGTGTCTTATTGTATGATTTCAAATTAGTTTGCGTTTTATTTTTATCAAGAAAAAATATCTACAGTATATTAGTAATAAATCCTTATAATGATAAATGTTACAGATAGGCTAATCTGTGAAGAAAATAACTAGACATTAAACAAATTTAAAAAAAAGGAAAGAAAATACTATACTTTATCAAATTAGCGTAGCTGTTGATCAAGACTAAATTTAATAATTAGATAAAGACCTGCTGTGAAGTGCAGAAGCGTAATACATTGATTATTAATTAGGGCGTACGAGGCTTATTATTGAGCTTGATCAACCGCACGTAATAGAGCTTGTCAAACGAACAGTAGAGCTTTTATTAACACACAATGGGAATTATCCTTTGTGAGAATTGTTATGTGCAGTGTGGGAATTTACATGAGGTTTAACAACTTG